ATTTTGAAGATATCCATCCCTCTGCTAGTTATTTCTATCTCTTTTCATTCTTTTCTCTACTTAATAGATAAGATAGCAAAAATCCCCTTAAAGATATTTTTAGGAAAATCTACTATTTTTTAAGGTTTTTGTCATGTTAACCTTGCTCATTTCTTATAACAAACATTTCTATCCGCAATAAGTTGTTTTATATTATTTATATTTTTTGGGGGCAATGCCCTTTTGTGCTAGAAACCGCTAGACTAACTTGACTATTCAAAAAAGAAAGATTGACTATTTAGAGAAAATTTCATGCCTTTGTATTTATTATATATGATTTTCAGCATGAAGCCAATTTTTTCAACTATGTTTATCTTTTACTAAAATTATCAATGTTCATGTCACTTTATTATTATAGTATTGTCCATTTGGGATGCCTCACAGGCTCATGACCGATCAATGGTGAGGAATTAACCCTAGCAATTAACCAAGAGATGTTGGGCAAAGGAAACAGCTTTATATTATTGATATAATTTGAAATAGTTCGTTCCTACAATTCAATATCACACTGTTTTGTTGATCCAATAACTTCTTATTGATAGCAAAAAGAGCACCCCATACAGGTGTTTGAAAAATGAAAAAAAAAAGTCAAATCTCTTTTGAACAGACAGAAATGTTGAAAGATGATAATTAGTGTAGGAAAAAAAATTAAATGATTTTAACTTTGGAAAATGAAATACTTGTGGGACTAATTCCAATTGTATTGAATATATAAAATATGATTTTGTCTATTTTGTTATATCCTATTTCTTTTTGTTTATTTTGGTCAAGTGTATGCAAATTGCCTGGAAGCTTTTGACGAAGATTTTTTTTAATGTAATTTACAGTTTAGATTGATGTACAAGTGAAAATTATGAAAGATGGTGTGGGATGATTACAACAATTTAGTGACTTTTCCTAAGATTAAACTTAATAGAAATTATGTCCATTGCAGTTTTTCACCGGTGAATATTTAAAGTAGAGATGAGTCAAACTGTAAAAGTGAATTAAACTAACCAAAAAAAACAAATCTAACCAATTGATCTTTTGGGGGAAAGTATAGGTTTTATTAATAAAGTCAATCAAAGCCATATCGGATGTTTTTTTTCAAACCATCTTCAACATATTAAATGATCCGTTTTAGCAGGAAAGTTAAAACAATTTGTTTTGAAACAGTGCCATTCTCATGCACACGGACATATGTATCTTCACTTCCTTTTTTAGGAGGTAAATAAAAACAAGTGATATTTCTCCGGAAACCTTCTTCGTTCTTTTTTTGGGGTCGAACTCCAGAAACTTTCATATGGCAGGCTTTGCTAAAAGATATTGCCCAGCATCAACAACCTACATATAGTTCCATCCATCCATTAGAAAAACCCTAATCTAACCATATCACTGCGTTTAGTTATCTTGAAATCAACTTTTTATATTAAAAATTCTAAAACTTGTCACGAAAATGCAATTGAGTCCTAAAACTATCAAAAAGTGTAATCAAGTTCTAAAACTTATCACGAAAGTGCAACCAAATCTTAAAACTTTCAAAAAGTGCAATTAAGTCCTAAAACATGTCACAAAAGTGCAATCGAGTCCTAAAATTTTCATAAAATGCAATCAAAGGAAGTACTTGTTTGGATTAATTTAACAAGTTTTAGAATTCAATTGCACTTTTTAAAAGTTTTAGGACTCAATTGTACTTTGTGACAAGTTTTAGGACTAAAATGCCATTTTTGAAAGTTTTAGGACTCAATTACACTTTCGTAATAAGTTTTAGGACATCTAACGCATTTATGCCAAAAAAAAAGATCCCCGTCGAAATCTAGAGAGTATATCGCTAACCAATGTCACCACATCACTTAATAAACATACTTTACCCAAAAAAAGAAAAAGAAGAAGGATTCAGTCTGGCATTTTGTCTCTTCAAATTCCTTTGCCATATCCAGCCGAACACAGATAAACACAATCGAAAATCTTGCAGAGCTTCTTCTTGTTCAAAGACTTGATGCGGAAAGCTTCAGGCGGTGACATCAACGAACTCCTTTCTGAAGTAGGATGGCTTCAGTGCAGTGTCTTTGGAATTGATTCGTCTCTTTGGCCGACCAATTTGCATCTACCAGAATTAGCGGTGCTGGATTTAACAAACACCTGGGTCACAGAGGATTGGGAAGGATGGAGTTCAATCATGATGGTTTTATCCTCTTGCGATTTTTGGATTTGTTTGTGTTTAGTTGATCAACTTCTTCTTTTGACAGCTTCTCCTTATTTTGTATAGGCGGCGGAAAAGCGGCTACAAGTTCTCGATCTTGGAGTTTGCATATATTTAAGATGTATGCCTGATCTCTCGGCTTTCACGCAGTTGAAGATTCTCATCTTGAGCAATTGTTGGCAAATGGGGTTTCTCCACCCTTCTATTGGCCAACTCAAAAGCCTCGTTACCTTGGACTTGAGTAACTGTTATGGTTTCAATGAGCTACCAGAGGAAGTGGGTGAATTAAAAGATTTAGAAGAACTTCTATTAGATTATGTTGGTGCTATTACAAATATTCCTACGTCTATTGGCTCTCTGAGGAAGCTGGAGACACTGAGCGCCTGCTTTTGTGAGTCATTGAGAGAAATCCCTAGCTCAATTGCAGATTTACAGAATTTGCAACGTCTGGACTTGAGTGGTTCTGCGATTGAAAAGCTTCCTAGTGCTATTGGAAGGTTGACAAATCTGCGGACCCTACTTCTAAAATCATGCAATAGTCTGAAAGGGGCAATTCCAAGTGAAATCGGTGACTTATCTTCGCTCGAGATTCTCGATATGGCTTTTGCACCGATACCTGACCTACCAAAAAGCATCCGAAATCTTTCTTCTCTCCAACGCCTTAGCCTATTGGGCTGTGACAATCTCTGGTCGCTGCCAGAGCTTCCTTCGGGCTTAACACATCTATGGGTCTCTTGTCAGAGTCCCAAGTTGCCACAGCTTTCTAGCCTAATCCACCTAGAAGAACTTCATCTTCAAGCGTGCAATCTACTTCAATACATCCCCGAGCTTTCACAATTAATTCGTCTGAAATGCTTGCGCGTTCAGCATTGCAATTACCTAGTTGAAATTGAGGGCCATGATTATTTGGAGTTCTTGGAGGGCATATTTATAGATGACTGCAATTCCATCAAAAGGCTTCTCTGTCCAGAATCACGGTGTTTGAAGCAATTAGTGGCTGTCAGGTGCAGCAATCTAGTCGAAATTCAAGGTCTTGACGGTGCAAAGTTCTTAGAAAAATTGGATTTTACAGGATGCAAATCAATGGAGGCTTTGCCAGATTTGACGGGATGTGAGAAGTTACGATCTCTAGTAGTTAAAGACTGCAAGAAACTTGCTCAGCTTCGGGGACTTGAAAAGTTGGATTTAGTTGATTTGGATATTTCTGGTTGCGACTCAATGGAAACGCCACCGAAATAATCTAGAAAGAATACGCATCCTTGGAAATTATGTAGAGATCCGTCTCGATATCTCTATTGAAATATTATACTGCGGTGATAATCATGTGATGAATCTTATACCCATATTACAATAGTGAGACGAGTCATGATTCCTTAACAGAGGTAGATAAGCAGTAAACTATCGTCTTTCTTCTGAGATTCATGACTTACTGTTCATCACTATCTTTTTTTGATGAGAAAGTTTTCCTTGACAGGGTTCTGTACTTTCCTAAATTGCTAGTCGCACGTAATTGAAGGAGTGGTGGATTTGGTCGTAGAAGTTTACATGATGCTTCAGCCAATATCAAAATGTCAGTAGAAGGCATTGGTCATCTAGTAAGATTCTTCATCCTTTACCGGCCAGCGTGAGCGAATAGAGTGATACTTTTCTTGAAGCTATTTTTTTTTTAAGAATGATTTGCTCCACATCGGCTATCTACTTGATTAATTTTGGAAACTTCGGATTTGCCTCCGTACGATTGCTGTTGATTACGTTATAGAAATGTTTTTCATTTATCCTTCCATTGGCAGCTTTTGTAGACTGCAAACAGATTAGCGGCTTGTGAGGCAAGAATGAAAATATCAACATAGGCAAACAAGAATTACCTAGTGATTAATGGTTTCCCTCTCAGTAAACCCAGAATTTGAAATTTGCATCTAGAGGCCAATGATTTTCTGCCACTCAATATTGTAAACTACGCCCAGAATTTCCCTATCTCCAAAATTCATATTTTCCTTGAAAAAATCCTTGGCCATTTTGAGTTCCTTTGTGATTTCTTTGGTGTGTCAAATTGACTAATGGCAGATGTCCTGTTTGGGACAAACGCCTTCCAATTTTCCGTGATGAACGAAAACCCTGTCAAGTTTCTTATTGTTCCCTTGATGTTCCTCTTGAACCTCCTAAGAAGAGCATCAATTCCCAGTAAGTATGATGAACTGAGCTAAAATAAAAATTCAAGGTTCAAGTGTTTCTGGTTGGTGATAAAAATAAATGTTAAAGTTGTTTTGGCTAGTCTCTCATATATGATTGTAGACCACCTTAACATTACCAATAGTCAAACTGATGTTTTGAAAGATTGTCGAGCAAGGTAAACTGGTGCTGCTTCTATGATAGGTTTGGTTGGTCCATGTACTGATCAAGACTTACTTTGGGACTTCAATTCAATGAGCTGTATCGATGACCTTTTGCATAATTGGGACAATTATTTGCTTGTCTGTGAAAGAATTTGCTAATTAGTTTGCATCCCGTTTGATCCTATTGTTGTCATGGAATTGTTTTATCACATGACTGATTTGGGTGTGGCTAACTTGGCTGAGTTACTTCAAATTCCATACTTGAGACCAGTCAAAATGAAGAAAAGGGATTTGCAGAGGAAACATCGGCAACAGCTGAGGACCATCTTGCGTGCCAAACTTGAAGAGGCTCTGGGGCCACCTGGAGTGTCCTGAGGAAGTTTTGATGCTTGTGAAGATTCTAACATTTGATCTGGTCTCAACAGCACATAACTAAATGATTGTAAATGTAAATTGAATCTGCTTTCTGTATGCTCATTTATGTCGCTGCTGATTTTTTTGTATGTTACCCTGATGCAAAGTTGTTTGATGTAGTTGCGTTCTAATGATATCTCTCCTGAACTCGACGAGGCTCTGCAAAGGGAGGTATGCACTAGAGTGTCCTGAGGCAGTTTTGATGCTTGTGAAGAAGAGGAATTTTGCAGAGGGAGTATCAGCAACAGCTAAGGCCAACTTGAAGAGGCTCGTGGGCCAACTAGAGTGTTCTGAGGAAGTTTTGATACTTGTGAAGATCGAAACACTTGTTCTGGTGTCAACAGTACATACCTGAATGATTGTGAATGTTGGTTTTTCAATTGAATCTTTTTTTCATATGCTCAGGAGGTTCTACCTATCTGTTAATCAAATACATACTTGCTGATTTTTTTGTGTGTTACCCTGATGCAGAGTAGTTTGATGAGGTCGCGTTCTAATGATATCACTCCCGAACTCAATGAGGCTCTGCAAAGGGAGCTATGCATTGCCAGTCATACCATAAATATGAAAGACTTATTTGAGTGCTTATACTATATGAGCTCTGGAATTTCGCCTCAAAATCAGTATACAAGGATGCATGATGACAATCTCCTCCATTTTTTGTAAGTTTATTAGTGCGATAATATCCTTTGAATGTTGTCATATAGGTTTCTGATTAAATAAGCTCAGTTCTCATGTATGGCGCATTGAATTTGTGAAGTTGAAACTCACCTCCTAGCAAACTATACCATGTTGCTGAATTTTGCTAATCGGATATTGCGAAATAACCCGGTAACAAGCACATCTTTATGTTATGTAGTTTAGGCACTTCAACTTTTCAGCATAATCTTATTAACATCAGTTCTGTTCCTAAACACAAACAAGGGAAGTGTGCTAATTGCTTAGTTCTCCCAAGTCTGTTGTTTTCTTTTTCATCGGTCAGCGAATGAAGTCTCCGTTGATTGTGGTCTGACTGCGATCTAATCAGAGACACCTAGAATGTGTGGCAAGATATGTCCTAGAATTTGTTGTTGGTGCAAATGATGTTTATTCATTTGTACCTTACCTTTCATGGGGTTGATTGTGACGCTACGATATCAGATATCTTCATTTATTGCTAATTAGTCAATCCTATCCTTCTTGTTTAGATTCAAGCTGCATTTCATTCAAATTCGGAGAAAGTTCCCCAACGCTGCACGAAGGAGATGCGGGCAGGAATGAGCCGTCATCATGAGACATTACGGAAAGGCGTCACAAAGTTTCTCGTTATTGGCGTTCATCGTGTGCTCCCGTGTTTGTTAAGACTCTCCATAGGATACTTGATAGAAAGCGACCTCTTCTCACATGGTGTAGTAGTCCTTTGTGAGCTTTGACATCGTGACATTTATTAGCAAAGCCGAATCTCAAAGTGCTTGCAGGAAGACCGCGTGTGCAGGTGGCTCCGTATGTGAATTCAAGCATAAAATCGAAGTTGTCAACAAGATCACCGTTCAGATGTCCACTTCAAGCAAGAATTTTGTTATTGGGAGAGACACCTTTTTCATGGAAAAAGCGAATGCCGTGGAATCAACAAATAATCTATCAATCGCAGCCAAGAGTTTCAGTGAAAAGGTTTCCAAGAAGACGGTCGTTTCTAAATTGGAAGAATTTTGAACACCAAATAGAAGTGTTCAGTAGTTTCTCTGGTCTGGTTACATCAGAAAATGCATATATTGGCATTTTGCAGTCACTTCAATCGTATAATCTCAAACTGATTCACCCACGCATGAATCTATGAAGTAGAATAGACACAGCCATACATTTTCATACCTGAAAATAAATTTTCTGTGGCGTTGGCTACGGTAGAAGACTGATAAAAATGTTACGAAATTTTTTGGAAGGGAGAAAATGGCCCCTCCGAAAGGTTATACTCATTCGGTTTCAATCCAATACTAAGATTACAATGGTGGAATTTTAATTGTTAAAAGCTACTCATAGTCTGATTCGCTGCTTGTGGGAAAAGTGCCAAAAGAGTCATAAACATTTTGCATTGGTGCCAATTTATTCCTAAACCTTTTTTTGGTGCCAATTCAGTCCTAAACAATTTGCATTTGTGCCAATTTAGTCCTAAACCTTTTTTTTGTTCCAATTCAGTCCTAAACCTTTTGCATTTGTACCAATTCAGTCTTAAACCTTTTGTCTTTGTGCCAATGCAATCCTTTCGGTCAATTTTGGCCGGATTTTGCTAACGTGGACGCCGGCCGGCCGACGGCCGGTCACCCGCGCTGACGTGGACAACTTTAATAATACTTTAATATTGTTTTGAATTTTTTTTATTTTCTTTTTTTTCCCCTCCTCTCCCTCCTCCCTCCAGCCGGTCGCCGGTCCAGCGAGTTGATCCACAAGTCCGAGCAAGTATTTGCCGTTCCAAGCAGGGTGGAGATTCTCCCAAAAATAAAAAAGCAGGGTGGAGCGACTCAGAAAATAAAAAAGCAACAGAAGTGCATTCACAGAAAGCAAGGGAGGCCAAGAAGGACTGATAATGAAAGTGAAAGCAGAGAAACGCGTTTGAGTTGAAGTGAAAGCATAGTTGAGTAACAACTATTTGCCATCACCTCAAAAAAGTCAAGAGATCCATCAATTTGATTGGGCCTGGCGGATCGCTAGTTGATTTTGGTGCTTTAAAGCACTGTGCATTGGATTCCAAACAAAAAGAAAAAAAAGAACACCTTAGCTCAATTATGGACACGATTAATAAAATTTCTGTTCCAAAAACATATTTCTGAGCAGAAAAATACTTTTGATAACGACACAAAATTTTTATTCCCAGAACAGAAATTCGTTTGATAACAGCATAAAATTTCTATTTCCCTTACGGCGGCATCAACTTGGCAGGGGCGATGCCAGCGGACGGTAGGCGATGACGACGGATGGCAGTGAAGGCTGGTAGAGGCTGACAGCGGCGGTCGGTGGGCGGCAACGGTGTCGGCAGCAGGGAACTGGGAGAGAAAGGAGAGCGAGTCGTGAGGAGAGAGAGCAGAGAGATGATTTCTAACAAAAATCAAAAAGTAAAAAATTTAAGTTTTTATTTCTATTCTAAACCTACTTCTGAAACAGAAATTTGTTCTAGAAATAAAAAAATGAAATTGCGTTATCAAAAGGATAATTGATCCAACCTATTTCCGAAACAGAAATTTTATTTTTGAAATTTCTTCACGCGCACCCTGAACTTCAACACCTCATTCCATCAGTTACCACTTACCACTTTCAGGACTCTTTTTTATGCTTGCTATTTTTCTTTTCCTTTAAATATTAGATACCACATGACCGCTTTAACATATGCATTGAAACAAGTCATCTAATTCAAGTTTCGAACATTCATTTAGGATGACTATGTACCTAATTTAAAGATTCACCCACATAAAGTCTTAAACCTTTTACCAACTTGACTAATTTTCCGAAATTCTTTACCGTGGAGACTACGCTAGTCTATTGAAAATTTCCAAAATTCTTTGCCGTGGAGACTACGCTAGTCTATAGAAAATTTCCGAAATTCTTTGCCGTGGAGACTACACTAGTCTATTGAAAATGTAGGCGACAATGAATGTCGCAATCAACTTTTTTTAGTGGAAAATAAAGTATGCTTTTGTTTTGGTAAAGTATTGCCGGAGGCATGAGGCAGGTTCGTCCATGTATGGCACTTGGCGGATGTCCCTATCGCGAAAATTTGCAGAGTCTATGATATTTAAAGAAGGCGAGGGAGCGGGAGTGTTTGGTGAAGAGGGCGTTGGTGGAAGCAAATAGAGAGCATAGCAAAGAGGGAGAGAGAAGAATATATATATATATATATATATATATATATATATATATATATATATATATATATGTGTGTGTGTGTGTGTGTGTTCAGATGGAATGAATTTAAAAAACAAATTATGGAAAAATAGCGTCTCCACCACTACTTTACTGTTTGGCCAAAAATAAATAAATAAAACTCCACTATTTGTGACGGAAATTCCATAAGTCAAAGCTCTCTCTTGTGATTTTGGTCCCACATTCAAGGTGGACCATTAGATCGAAGGGAGAGAAAGCGTGGTCCGTCAAATTTGTTTTGCAAAACCGATGTTTGTCATAACTTAGACACAATGAAGGAAAGTTACGGATGCAACAATTGATCGAATTTACAGATTATGAAAAATCACAACGTGTAATGAAAACTATTGAAACGTAGGCGTCAAACCTTTACTAAGAGTAAAATAAAATTACGATCAATTCAAATATTTTACTAAAAATACGCAAAAGAAATTTACTTTTAACCGAATAGGTTACTATTCACAGGCTCCGGAGAACTTACGACCACCAAAGAAAAATTAAACCCTCCAAAAAAGTTATGTAATGAAAAATTACAAATAAATTACTATTAGTGATGACAATTACGAATGCCACAAGAATGTTACAATTCATTAGATAATTTATTAACAGTAGAAGAAGATATTCATTAGGTAGATACTGTTTTTTGTGAAATATTACAAACAATAGGATTCATGGAGTTTACGACAACAAAAGGAAATTACATACCCACCCATGGGTAGCGCAGTTGGTTAGGACGTACTTGGGATTGTGTGGTTAGGCGCACTGGTCCCAGGTTCGATTTCCCAGCTGAGCACTTGTGATTTAAGTGGGGGGCCATGGCGGTGGGTTGCTGTGCTAGTCTCCCCCGAGGAATAGTCGAGGTGCGCGCAAGCTGGCCCGGACACCTCGGTTACCAAAAAAAAAAAAAAAAAGGAAATTACATAATATGAAAAAGAGAGATAGTCATAAAATGATATGTAACCAACATATTACTATTAGCGAGGAAAATTACAAATAGGGAAAATCACGAACAATTAGACAGACCCGGTCTGTTTTCCCTTCTTGAGTCGAGTTCAGCCTGAGTATTTCAATCAAAGGGAAGAGCCAGAGCAAAGCAAACAAGGGAATGCATCAGTTCATTTTATGGCGTTCTTCTGTGGTGCTTATTGCACCAAATTCTTGTTTCTTTGTTCGCTTGTAACCATCTCAAGAAGAGGAAAACAAGTGGAAGCGATACAACTGCAAAAAATAAGGGCACCGACAGATCGTCTACATATTTGTTCATCTATCCAACGCCAGCAGGCATGGGGAAAGCGATCCTTGCGATGTAGTCTTGAGCTATAGAGGCTCGGGTATTCGCAAGGTCGCAAGGGCTTCACTAATTACCTCACGGCGAAATTCTTGAGCTTTAATCTCACTTGTTTATCCGTCTCGCAGTAATATCCGTCCATGATAAATTATTTCCACATTTGCCGTGACATCCCGAAATTTTAATTTTCTAACATAATTTACGAGATTAAATGCTCTTCTTCATTCATGGTCATGGACACTCAGTGGGTCACTTCCGATCAAGCACATATACGAACATACGGTCAAAGTGAACATTCAAATATGGTGAATGTGAATAGGAAATACGATGAAAGTGAGCATTAAAATACGGTCAAAAAGTGAATAGTGATTTGTTGGAAAGGTAGTAACAATAGGTGAAGTGGAGTTTGAAATGATGAGAAAAGACGTTAGAGTCGAAAAGGAAAAGACGAAAAGATAGAAAGAAAGAAAGGAGAAAAAGAAAGGAGAGAGGGGGGGAGAGAGAGAGTGTCGGCGAGAGGATAAGATAAACAAGGAGGGAGAGGCCTCGCGCAGGAGGAGAAAAGAAAGAGAGAGAGAGAGAGACAGAGCACACCGAAGTAAGGGAGAGTTTGTTGAGCAGAGTGACGCTTCAAGGAAAATCACAAATTCGACGGCCATAGAGTCAAAATCAGCCGAAGCCCCCAACTAGAGAGTGACAGTAGACTCAAAGAGCTTTCCATCCGTAGATAATTCACTCCGCACAGAGATCAGGAGGTCGGTCAAAAGGGGTCCGAAAACACCGTTTTTCGGAATGCCCGCCGGTGAAAGGATCAGCTGACACCCTCTAGGAAAGAGCCAATTTCGGTAAGCTACACTTAGAATCGGTGTACTAGCCATATACCGTTGGAAAATAGACTCGATCGTCGTGGAACCTAGGTCATAGCTTTTCGTGTTGGTATGAGTTAGGTCAAGATCTGACCATGTTTATCGTGAGGAAAAAAATCAAGTTCCATGTCCACCCAAAGCTTTCCATCCAGGTAAGTGAAAACTCTGGGCACGAAGTTAGATCGATCATTTTGGTACTCTTGAATTCGGTTGGTTGATGCCTACTTATTTTGTTTAAATTTTGATGTTGAATTTATATGAACTTCAAGCGTAACTTGCTGAGTTAATTGTTGGCTTGAATTGAAGAGTTTTATATATATGCTTGGGGTGTGTTTAAATAATTAGCAAAATAGTTGGTTGCATCTTGGATGGAGAAAAATGGATAAATTGAGCTAAACCTAAAGGTGGCAAAAAGTGCAGGCATTTAGAGGGTGACGTCCATTGGGCAATAACTACATGACACTACATTAGTTTGGCTAATGAAAATGGGATAAGACAGAAGGGGCTGCGAAAACGAGGTGGTGGACATAGTTAGGGTTGTTTATATATTAGGCTAAAAAATATAAGAGTTAGGTCGGAGATTATGGTAAGGCATCGTGTGTGCTTATTATCATAGGAAGATGCGTCCATGGAGTTTCCTACATAATTTCAATATCTTGGGTGTGAATCGAAAGAATCCATCTTTAAATATCGTAGACGTACGTTAAGTTATGTAGTTGTTCAAATGTGTTTTAGAGAAGTCGATTAATTACACTTCAATCTGTTTCCGTATGTGTGTAAATATTTAAATGGGTTTCAAAAATGACTTGGGCTTTTTGGGGGCCTCTTCAGGGCCACCTAATCTTCCACACTGAAACGACTGTCAGCTTACATAACTAAAGGCCGTGTCGTCATTGCCCAGGCGGAGAAATTAAGAAACACGTAATTCGGAGTGGACCAAGCCAACAAGCTTGACGTTGATTGGAGGGTGAGGTCCGAAAGAAGCTGACTCCACCTGTTTGTGAGCAGAATCCGAGGCTGTAAGGACACGAGGTATGCTGAACATTCTCAAGCACTTGATTTTTTACACACGATTAGCTGACGGAGGATCGTACGAGCTTCGCTCGCTGGATAAGTTAAGGACTACAAGCATTTGCAGAAAAGCATCCTAAGAGCATCTTTCTTTGTCCATCAATCCCTTTAAGCCGCAGAAAAACCTGTCTTTCATTTCGACTTGACGTGCGTGAAATTATGTAGTTGTTCAAATGTGTTTTAACGAAGTCGATTAATTACACTTCAATCTGTTTAAATGTGTTTAAATATTTAAACATGTTTCAAATATGTGTTTTGGAACAAGTACTTGATGTGGACATTTTGGGGAGAAATTAACGTACACATTATTCGGAGTGGACCAAGCCAACAAGCATTTACGGAAAAGCATCCTAAAAGCACGTTTCGTTTCAACTTCCTACCTCAGATCCTCATGGACAGAGGGCAGAGTTTGAGAGAGATAAAGAGAGAAGAGGAAGAGAGCACCGAGGGTGCATCCACTTCTTCATTCATCTCTCCGGAAGCCGCAGTTGTAGGTAGTGGTCAATACGACGTGTTCTTGAGCTTTAGAGGCTCGGATACCCGCAAGGGATTCACCGATTACCTCTATCACAGTTTGGTCAAGGCAGGGACTGTACCGTTTTGTGTGTTCCGGGACGATATCAACATCCCAATTGGTGAGGAATTTGGTTCACAGATTTTCGATGCCATCGCACGGTCTAAGATTTCGATCCCTGTCATCTCCGAAAATTATGCTTCGAGCAAATGGTGCCTCCGCGAGCTCATTCGTATCATGGACCGCAAGAAGAGCACGTCGCACATAGTGTTGCCCATTTTTTACAAAGTTGCCCCATCGGAGGTGCGGCATCTAACAGGAAATTTTGGAAATGCCTTCCGTTCGAGTAAGGAGCGTTTTGACGAGAAGGATATCCGGGAAGGGCAATGTGCACTTAACGAAGTCAGCTACTTACATGGATGGGAATCTGAGAAAATTGCCAACGGGTACTTTTCTGAACTTTTCTGTTTTGATAAGTAAGTTTTCTTCTTCATGCAGAACAGATGAGATGCAGATGAATTACTTTCACTGCAAGCCCAGAAAAGATCCCCGAAATGTCCCAATAGACAACCATAATGCCTCGAAGACAAACTCCAGTACTCCCCAAGATGTCCCCGAAAACTAAACCAACGACAACTAAAACCAAAGCATTCCATAGCGCCCAAATATTTTACATTTGCCTCCGGTACAAAGCAAAAAAACAAAGAAACGACAATGCCTCCAGCCAATAGTACCAATCACGAAACAGTAGGCCTACAAAGGACTCCAATGCTCAGTCTTCCGAAGCTTGGTCACCACCAGATAAATTTGACCTCCTATAGCCAGCAAGGGTTAGCTCAGTTGATAAGGATCGAATACTTCGCATAGACTATGTCTAGGTTCATAATCTCTGATTGTTTTTGTTGTTTGACAGGCATGAGGGAGAATTAATAGAACGCGTGGTCAAAACTGTTGTAAGCAAGTTACAGGAAGATTTCCAGTTAGATGTGCCTAAGCAACTAGTTGGACTTGATGGTCGTTTGAAGGAAATTATGGATTGGATAGACAGTCCTTCCATCAATGCTCGAATGATTGGAATTTATGGCATGGGCGGGATAGGCAAGACAACTCTTGCCAAGTGCATCTACAATCAACTCTCGGATAAATTTGTGCATGTCAGCTTCCTTCCAGATGTTCGAGAAACTATAAAGCGCCACGGTATTACGCATCTACAGAGTCAACTTGTATCGGATATACTAAAGGGGAAAAATGAAGTGTCTAGAGTTGATGATGGAATTAATATAATCAAATCTAGATTCCAAGGAAAAAAGGTTCTCATTCTTCTTGATGATATAGATGACAAAAATCAACTAGATGCTTTGGCTGGGGAACGTAATTGGTTTACGGCAGGAAGTATGATCATTGTTACGACTAGAAATAAAGCCGTTCTTGATCAATCTGAATTCGAAGTAGACTACAGGTATGAATTGGGTGAATTGGATGGTGAGAATGCTTTGCTTTTGTTTAACAGACATGCATTTCGTATGGATCATTCTCCGTGGGACTTTATGGATATATCTCATTATATCATATCCACCATGGGTGGACTTCCCTTGGCACTTAAGGTTGTAGGTTCATACTTGTATAAAAAAACGAACCGAAATGTATGGGAAGATGTGCTGAAGCAATTACAAAGCCAACCACATAAAGATGTCCAAAAGATGTTGGGAATAAGTTATGATGCATTAGAAGATGACCAGAAGCAGATTTTTCTCGATATTGCTTGTTCTTTAATTGGCAAAGAGAGCAAATTCGCTATGTACATGTGGGAGGACCGTGGGTTTTATCCAAATCAAGGAATTGAAGAGTTGAAGTTGAGGTGCTTAATTAAAATTGGAGATCATGGTGAGTTTGAAATGCATGATCAACTGAGAGATCTTGGAATAAGCATTTTTCGCCAAGGGCACCTGCTTGGGAAACGTAGCAGACCATGGGACAGGGACTATGGGGGAGTCTCAAGAGTACTAAATGATCAGGTAACATATGTCACACATTTCTTTTTCTCTCCCTCTTATTTTAATATATTTAATTTGATCTATTCTAATATCTCATCTAGGATGAGCAGATGCTCTTACTTTCTAGGAAAAAAAAATCTATGTAAACATCCTTTTATGTCCATCATAGATTAATTGTAACAGCTAAATGGATTATAAGTATCTCAAGGATGAAAAGTTATATCATTTGATTCGATTTCATTGATATAAATTACATATGTAGAAATTTAATCTACAGTTAATTTAAGATCCTTTAACTACAATTTTACACTATAAATCTCATTTACTAGAAGCATGTAATTGTCATATCTAGTTGATAATATTGATAATCTAAAGGACTACAATAATGAATCAAGATGAAGTATAAACATCATAGATCAAATAAATGAAGATTTCTTGGTTAAAAAAAGAGATAGTATGTACCAATTACAATAACAGATAATTCATTCAAAACAATAAGATTGTAAAAGTTTCACACTTGTCACATGTGCATGCTTTCTAGTATGGCCGAATGTATTTGTGGTGCTCCCGCAATTTAGGAATCCAATGTTTGATATATTTTTTTCTCCATTTTGATTTTGAAGAAATCCGTCCCTCTACTAGTTATTTCTTTCTCTTTTCATTCTTTTCTCCTCTTAATAGATAAGATAGCAAAAATCCCCTTAAAGATATTTTTAGGAAAATCTACTATTTTTTAAGGTTTTTGTCACGTTAACCTTGCTCATTTCTTATAACAAACATTTCTATCCGCAATAAGTTTTTTTATATTATTTATATTTTTTGGGGGCAATGCCCTTTTGTGCTAGAAACCGCTAGACTAACTTGACTATTCAAAAAAGAAAGATTGACTATTTAGAGAAAATTTCATGCCTTTGTATTCATTATATATGATTTTTAGCATGAAGCCAATTTTTTCAACTATGTTTATCTTTTACTAAAATTATCAATGTTCACGTCACTTTATTATGATAGTATTGTCCATTTGGGATGCCTCACAGGCTCATGACTGATCAATGGCGAGGAATTAACCCTAGCAATTAACCAAGAGATGTTGGGCAAAGGAAACAGCTTTATATTCTTGATATAATTTGAAATAGTTCGTTCCTACAATTCAATATCACACTGTTTTGTTGATCCAATAACTTCTTATTGATAGCAAAAAGAGCACCCCATTCAGGTGTTTGAAAAATGAAAAAAAAACAGTTAAATCTGTTTTGAGCAGACAGAAATGTTGAAAGATGATAATTAGTGTAGGAAAAAAAATTAAATGATTTTAACTTTGGAAAATGAAATACTTGTGGGACTAATTCCAATTGTATTGAATATATAAAATATGATTTTGTCTATTTTGTTATATCCTATTTCTTTTTGTTTATTTTGGTCAAGTGTATGCAAATTGCCTGGAAGCTTTTGACGAAGATTTTTTTTAATGTAATTTACAGTTTAGATTGATGTACAAGTGAAAATTATGAAAGATGGTGTGGGATGATTACAACAATTTAGTGACTTTTCCTAAGATTAAACTTAAGAGAAATTATCTCCATTGTAGGTTTTTCACCGGTGAATATTTAAAGTAGAGATGAGTCAAACTGTAAAAGTGAATTAAACCAACCAAAAAAAAAAAAATCTAACCAATTGATCGTTTGGGGGAAAGTATAGGTTTCATTAATAAAGTCAATCAAAGCCATATGGGATTTTTTTTTCAAACCATCTTCAACATATTAAATGATCCGTTTTAGCAGGAAAGTTAAAACAGTTTGTTTTGAAACAGTGCCATTCTCATGCACACGGACATATGTATCTTCACTTCCTTTTTTAGGAGGTAAATAAAAACAAGTGATATTTCTCCGGAAACCTTCTTCGTTCTTTTTTTGGGGTCAAACTCCAGAAACTTTCATATGGCAGGCTTTGCTAAAAGATATTGCCCAGCATCAACAACCTACATATAGTTCCATCCATCCATCAGAAAAACCCTAATCTAACCATATCACCGCGTTTAGTTTTCTTGAAATCAACTTTTTATATTAAAAGTTCTAAAACTTATCACGAAAATGCAATTGAGTCCTAAAACTATCAAAAAGTGCAATCAAGCCCTAAAACTTGTCACGAAAATGCAACCAAGTCCTAAAATTTTCAAAAAGTATAATTAAGTCTTAAAACTTGTCACAAAAGTACAATCGAGTTCTAAAATTTTCATAAAATGCAATCAAAGGAAGGACTTGTTTGGATCAATTTGACAAGTTTTAGAATTCAATTGCACTTTTTAAAAGTTTTAGGACTCAATTGTACTTTGTAACAAGTTTTAAGACTGAAATATCATTTTTGAAAGTTTTAGGACTCAATTACACTTTCGTAATAAGTTTTAGGACATCTAACGCATTTATGCCAAAAAAAAAGATCCCTGTCGAAATCTAAAGAGTATATCGCTAACCAATGTCACCACGTCACTTAATAAACATACTTTACCCAAAAGAAGAAGAAGAAGAAGAAGGTTTTAGGTTTCAAAGCGAGGATTCAGTCTGGCATTTTGTCTCATCGAATTCCTTTGCCATATCCAGACGAACACAGATAAACACAATTGAAAATCTTGCAGAGCTTCTTCTTGTTCAAAGACTTGATGCGGAAAGCTTCAAGCGGTGACATCAACGCACTCCTTTCTGAAGTAGGATGGCTTCAGTGCAGTGTCTTTGGAATCGATTCGTCTCTTTGGCCGACCAATTTGCATCTACCAGAATTAGCGGTGCTGGATTTAACAAACACCGGGTCACGAGAGGATTGGGAAGGATGGAGTTCAATCATGATGGTTTTATCCTCTTGCGATTTTTGGATTTGTTTGTGTTTAGTTGATCAACTTCTTCTTTTGACAGCTTCTCCTTATTTTGTATAGGCGGCGGAAAAGCGGCTACAAGTTCTCGATCTTGGAGTTTGCATATATTTAAGATGTATGCCTGATCTCTCGGCTTTCACGCAGTTGAAGATTCTCATCTTGAGCAATTGTTGGCAAATGGGGTTTCTCCACCCTTCTATTGGCCAACTCAAAAGCCTCGTTTCCTTGAACTTGAGTAGCTGTTATAGTCTCAATGAGCTACCAGAGGAAGTGGGCGAATTAAAAGATTTAGAAGAACTTCTATTAGATTATGCTAGTGCTATTTCAAAGATTCCTACGTCTATTGGCTCTCTAAGGAAGCTGGAGACACTGAGCGCCTGCTTTTGTGATTCATTGAGAGAAATCCCTAGCTCAATTGCGGATTTACAGAATTTGCAACGTCTGGACTTGAGTGGTTCTGCGATTGAAAAGCTTCCTAGTGCTATTGGAAGGTTGACAAATCTGAGGACCCTACTTCTCCAATCATGCAATAGTCTGAAAGGGGCAATTCCAAGTGAAATCGGTGACTTGTCTTCGCTCGAGATTCTCGATATGGCTTTTGCACCGATACCTGACCTGCCAGAAAGCATCCGGAATCTTTCTTCTCTCCAACGCCTTAGCCTATTGGGCTGTAACAATCTCCGGTCGCTGCCAGAGCTTCCTTCGGGCTTAACACATCTGTTGGTCTCTTGTCAGAGTCCCAGGTTGCCACAGCTTTCTAGCCTAATCCACCTAGAAGAACTTCATCTTCAGGCGTGCAATCTACTTCAATACATCCCCGAGCTTTCACAATTAAATCGTCTGAAACGCTTGCGCGTTCAGCATTGCAATTACCTAGTTGAAATTGAGGGCCATGATTATTTGGAGTTCTTGGAGGGCATATTTATAGATGACTGCAATTCCATCAAAAGGCTTCTCTGTCCAAGATCACGGTGTTTGAAGCAATTAGTGGCTGTCAGGTGCAGCAATCTAGTCGAAATTCAAGGTCTTGACGGTGCAAAGTTCTTAGAAAAATTGGATTTTACAGGATGCAAATCAATGGAGGCTTTGCCAGATTTGACGGGATGTGAGAAGTTACGATCTCTAGTAGTTAAAGACTGCAAGAAACTTGCTCAGCTTCGGGGACTTGAAAAGTTGGATTTAGTTGATTTGGATATTTCTGGTTGCGACTCAATGGAAACGCTACCGAAATAATCTAGAAAGAATACGCGTCCTTGGAAATTATGTAGAGATCCGTCTCGATATCTCTGTTGAAATATTATACTGTGGTGATAATCATGTGATGAATCTTATACCCATATTACAACAGTGAGACGAGTCATGATTCCTTAACAGAGGTAGACAAGCAGTAAATTATCGTCTTTCTTCTGAGATTCATGACCTACTTTTCATCACTATCTTTTTTTTATGAGAAAGTTTTCCTTGACAGGGTTCTGTACTTTCCTAATTTGCTAGTCGTACGTAATTGAAGGAGTGGTGGATTTGGTCGTAGAAGCTTACATGATGCTTCAGCCAAGATCAAAATGTCAATAGAAGGCATTGGTCATCTAGTAAGATTCTTCATCCTTTACCGGCCAGCGTGAGCGAATCGAGTGATACTTTTCTTGAAGCTATTTTTTTTAAGAATGATTTGCTCCACACCGGCTATCTACTTGATTAATTTTGGAAACTTCGGATTTGCCTCCGTACCATTGTCGTTGATTACGTTATAGAAATGTTTTTCATTTATCCTTCCATTGGCAGCTTTTGTAGACTGCAAACAGATTAGCGGCTTGTGAGGCAAGAATGAAAATATCAACATAGGTGAACAAGAATTACCTAGTGATTAACGGTTTCCCTCTAAGTAAACCCGGAATTTGAAATTTGCATCTAGAGGCCAATGATTTTCTGCCACTCAATATTGTAAACTACACCCAGAATTTCCCTATCTCCAAAATTCATATTTTCCTTGAAAATATCCTTGGCCATTTTGAGTTCCTTTGTGAGTTCTTTTGTGTGTCAGATTGACCAATGGCAGATGTCCTGTTTGGGACAAACGCCTTCCGATTTTTCGTGATGAACGAAAGCCCTGTCAAGTTTCTTGTTGTTCCCTTGATGTTCCTCTTGAACCTCCTAAGAAGAGCATCAATTCCCAGTAAGTATGATGAACTGAGCTAAAATAAAAATTCAAGGTTCAAGTGTTTCTGGTTGGTGATAAAAATAAATGTTAAAGTTGTTTTGGCTAGTCTATCATATATGATTGTAAACCACCTCAACATTACCAGTAGTCAAACTGATGTTTTGAAAGATTGTCAAGCAAGGTAAACTGGTACTGCTTCTATGACAGGTTTGGTTGGTCCATGTACTGATCAAGGCTTACTTTGGGACTTCAATTCAATGAGCTGTATCGATGACCTTTTGCATAATTGGGACAATTATTTGCTTGTCTGTGAAAGAATTTGCTAATTAGTTTGCATCCCGTTTGATCCTATTGTTGTCATGGAATTGTTTTATCACATGACTGATTTGGGTGTGGCTAACTTGGCTGAGTTACTTCAAATTCCATACTTGAGACCAGTCAAAATGAAGAAAAGGGATTTGCAGAGGAAACATCGGCAACAGCTGAGGACCATCTTGTGTGCCAAACTTGAAGAGGCTCTGGGGCCACCTAGAGTGTCCTGAGGAAGTTTTGATGCTTGTGAAGAATCTAACATTTGATCTGGTCTCAACAGCACATAACTAAATGATTGTAAATGTAAATTGAATCTGCTTTCTGTATGCTCATTTATGTCGCTGCTGATTTTTTTGTATGTTACCCTGATGCAGAGTTGTTTGATGTAGTTGCGTTCTAATGATATCTCTCCTGAACTCGACGAGGCTCTGCAAAGGGAGGTATGCACTACAGTGTCCTGAGGAAGTTTTGATGCTTGTGAAGAAGAGGAATTTTGCAAAGGGAGTATCAGCAACAGCTGAGGCCAACTTGAAGAGGTTCGTGGGCCAACTAGAGTGTCCTGAGGAAGTTTTGATGCTTGTGAAGATCGAAACACTTGTTCTGGTGTCAACAGTACATACCTGAATGATTGTGAATGTAGGTTTTTCAATTGAATCTGTTTTTCATATGCTCATGAGGTTCTACCTATCTGTTAATCAAATACATACTTGCTGATTTTTCTGTGCGTTACCCTGATGCAGAGTAGTTTGATGAGGTCGCGTTCTAATGATATCACTCCCGAACTCAATGAGGCTCTGCAAAGGGAGGTATGCATTGCCAGTCATACCATAAATATGAAAGACTTATTTGAGTGCTTATACTATATGAGCTCTGGAATTTCACCTCAAAATCAGTATACAAGGATGCATGATGACAATCTCCTCCATTTTCTGTAAGTTTATTAGTGCGATAATATCCTTTGAATGTTGTCATATAGGTTTCTGATTAAATAAGCTCAGTTCTCATGTATGGCGCATTGAATTTGTGAAGATGAAACTCGCCTCCTAGCAAACTATCATATAGGTTTCTGATTAAATAAGCTCAGTTCTCATGTATGGCGCATTGATTTTGTGAAGTTGAAACTCGCCTCCTAGCAAACTATACCATGTTGCTGAATTTTGCTAATCGGATATTGCGAAATAACCCGGTAACAAGCACATCTTTATGTTCTGTAGTTTAGGCACTTCAACTTTTCAGCATAATCTTATTAACATCAGTTCTGTTCCTAAACACAAACAAGGGAAGTGTGCTAATTGCTTAGTTCTCCCAAGTCTGTTGTTTTCTTTTTCATCGGTCAGCGAATGAAGTCTCCGTTGATTGTGGTCTGACTGCGATCTAATCAGAGACACCTAGAATGTGTGGCAAGATATGTCCTAGAATTTGTTGTTGGTGCAAATGATGTTTATTCATTTGTACCTTACCTTTCATGGGGTTGATTGTGACGCTACGATATCAGATATCTTCATTTATTGCTAATTAGTCAATCCTATCCTTCTTGTTTAGATTCAAGCTGCATTTCATTCAAATTCGGAGAAAGTCCCCCAACGCAGCACGAAGGAGATGCGGGCAGGAATGAGCCGTCATCATGAGACATTATGGAAAGGCGTCACAAAGTTTCTCGTTATTGGCGTTCATCGTGTGCTCCCGTGTTTGTTAAGACTCTCCATAGGAGACTTGATAGAAAGCGACCTCTTCTCACATGGTGTAGTAGTCCTTTGTGAGCTTTGACATCGTGACATTTGTTAGCAAAGCCGAATCTCAAAGTGCTTGCAGGAAGACCGCGTGTGCAGGTGGCTCCGTATGTGAATTCAAGCATAAAATCGAAGTTGTCAACAAGATCACCGCTCAGATGTCCACTTCAAGCAAGAATTTTGTTATTGGGAGAGACACCTTTTTCATGGAAAAATCGAATGCCGTGGAATCAACAAATAATCTATCAATCGCAGCCAAGAGTTTCAGTGAAAAGGTTTCCAAGAAGACGGTCGTTTCTCAATTGGAAGAATTTTGAACACCAAATAGAAGTGTTCAGTAGTTTCTCTGGTCTGGTTACATCAGAAAATGCATATATTGGCATTTTGCAGTCACTTAAATCGTATAATCTCAAACTAATTCACCCACGCATGAATCTATGAAGTAGAATAGACACAGCCATACATTTTCATACCTGAAAATAAATTCTGTGGCGTTGGCTACGGTAGAAGACTGATAAAAATGTTACGAAATTTTTTGGAAGGGAGAAAATGGCCCCTCCGAATTAAAGGTTATACTCATTCGGTTTCAATCCAATACTAAGATTACAATGGTGGAATTTTAATTGTTAAAAGCTACTCATAGTCTGATTCGCTGCTTGTGGGAAAAGTGCCAAAAAAGTCATAAACATTTTGCATTGGTGCCAATTTATTTCTAAACCTTTTTTTGGTGCCAATTCAGTCTTAAACCTTTTGCATTTGTACCAATTCAGTCCTAAACCTTTTGTCTTTGTGTCAATGCAGTCCTTTCGGTCAATTTTAGCCGGATTTTGCTAACGTGGACGCCGGCCGGCCGACAGCCGGTCACTGGCGCTGACGTGGACAACTTTAATAATACTTTATTATTGTTTTGAATTTTTTTTATTTTCTTTTTTCTCCCCTCCTCTCCCTCCTCCCTCCGGACCGGCCGCCGGTCCGGCGACCGGCCGGAGGGAGGAGGGAGAGGAGGGAAAAAAAAAAGAAAATAAATAAAGAAAATTAAATAAAAATTCAAAAAAATATTAAAATATTGTTAAAGTTGTCCACGTTAGTGCCGATGACCGGCCGGGGTCCACGTCAGCAAAATCCTGACAAAATTGGCCGGAAGGACTGAATTGGCACAAAAACAAAATGTTTAGGACTGAATTGGCACCAATGCAAAAGGTTTAGGATTGAATTTGCACCAAAAAAAAGGTTTACGACTTTTTTAGCACTTTTCCCCGCTTGTTGTCTACTTGAACTTTGACTCAACTTTTACGAAGCTCCAGACAAGGCCAAGTAGCTTGTTAAGCCAAGTTGAAATCTATAAGTACTAAATCATATAATTGCGGGTCATGTTATTGAGTCAAAATACTTGTTAAACACACTTAGCACGAAATAATTTAATTTTCAGAATATAGATCAAACATAACCGGAGAAAAGTCGCAAGTACAGTCAATGTATTGACTGTGCAATTTAATTACTTAGTTGCTTAACTAGTGCCTAGTCATAATGCTTTTCGTTTGACTGCTTATACAACATTAGTCACGACCTTATTGATCGAATTGATTCGAAGATGGAAAATTGTGGATCGACTATAGTTGTATGAACATGTTGAACCAATCGAACTGATTCGGTTGTGTTCACGGGGTACCCCCTTTTTCTCTTCTACTTCGATTTCATGCTAGCGATTTGCTTCGAGCTTGTTTATGAAAGTTCTATCACATTTTACATCAAAATCCTATAAATAACAACCATTTGAACGTAACTACGTGAGTTTCCAAAGGACGGGAGAAGCTTTGCTTTGGGCTCTTCGGTTTTCCTCGTTTTTGTGACTCCAAGCTCGACGGAATGGTACTAGAAATATGAAAACTGTCCTCATATCAGAATGGAACTGTAAAAAGGCCTTTCAGTTTATTTAATGCCTGCGAACAGCATGTTAGAATATGTAGCTTTTGGTAGTTCGCCAAATGAAAAATCATATAACGAAGAGGAATCGAAATAGACAAATTGAGGAAATTACACGGTCAAAAGAACCCCGAAACGGAGGCTTGAACTACATTTGCCCCCAAAAAAAGAGCTCTAAACAACAAAATCGACCATGAAGTAGATCTAAACGCCAATTCCTACGAATAAAAGCAGTCTTCTTATTTTGCAATCAGCATCATGTTGTTGAACGAAGAGCTTACTGAAAAACAATTTTTTCTTTAATGTAATCTTGAATTTAGTCCTAAACCTACATCAAGTTAACTGGATTTGCTAGTCGGCTTCTAATCCGGAAGTTTGAATAGTGGACAAAAAAATAATGCTACACGTGGATTCAGGAAAATTACCAAAAAATTCCTACACCTATTGCAATTGCCCAAATTCAATCCTAAACTTTTTTTTTTTTGCCAATTGAGTCCTAAACATTTTGCATTTGCTTCAATTCAGTCCATTTGACTAATTTTGGCCGGCTATCGCTGACGTGAACAATTTTTAATAATATTTTAATATTTTTTTGAATTTTTTATTTATTTATTTATTTATTTATTTTCCTTCTTCCTCCTTGGTCGCCAGCCTCCTCCATGGCCAGCGAGGCTTGCTGTAATGACCTGGGTCCCACTCGCAAGATATTGTCAGCTTTGGACACTAAGGCTGCATATGGCAACTTGCCAAATAGTGTTTGATTTTGTTCTTTTGTTCCCAGAATCAGTTTGGGAATAGAAATCCGTTTGTTTAATTTTTTGATTCTGGGCACAAATTCTTGCAAATTTGTGCCCAGAATCAGTTTTGGAGCAGAATCACGAATAAAAAAAAAGTAACTTCTTGATTTTGGGAACAAAAATGAGAATCAGTTTTTTTTTCTTCTTCTTTTTCTTGTTTTTTATAATAGAAAATAATGTCCGGCGCGAGGGCCACCCTCGCCGTATCCGGCAAGATTAAAATATTTTAATAAAAAAATTATTAATAAAAAATTTTATCGGCCATGGCCAGCGACTGTGCCATGGAGAAAAAAATAAAAAAATATTATTAATAAAAAAAAATTACTAGGCCATGGCCGGCCGACTGTGCCATGGCGAAAAAAAAAAAAAAAATATTATTAATAAAAAAAATTTTACCAGCTATGGCCAGCGACCAAGCCATGGCGAAAAAAATAAAAAAAATATTTTTATTAAAAAATTATTTATAAAAAAATATTTTACCGGCCATAGCCAGCGACCAGGCCATGGAAAAAATAATAAAAAAAATATTTTCAATATAAAAAATAAAAAAATATTTATAAAAAAATATTTTACCGGCCATGGCCAGTAGGGGTGTGCATGGTCCGGGTGGACGGTTCCCACCCCGGAACCGTGGACCGCCCGCTACAGGACCGGTTCCAAAAATTGGAACCGAGAACCGCCCGTCGGTTTCATGGACCCGCCCGAGAACCGGACCGCCGGTCCAGTCCGGTTCTTGGGCGGGTCCATGGAACCGGTCTCAACAAGTTTTCCTAGACAAATAAAAAAAAAAATCTGTGGACCAACATCGGATCAACAGAATAAAAGGAAAAGGACATAACTTTTCATACAATTCCTACACTATGATCGATTATATTAACCACATCATCCATAAATCAAGTTGGTACCCATTAATTATTGGGAAAAATGGCCAAGGTATCCCAACTACACAAGAGCTTCAGACATAACAACAAATTTTCTTCTTTTTTTAAATTTTTTTTGGTCAGATTTTTTTAATTAAAAATTAAAAAAATAAAATATATTATTATTATATTACCGGTCCGGTCCGGGTGGGCGGGTGGGCGGTTCCACACCGGGAACCGGGAACCGGCCCAAACAGTACCGGTTCCAAAAAATTGGAACCGGGAACCGGACCGGTTCCCTTGGGAACCACCGGTTCCGGTCCGGTTCCGGGCCGTTCTGGGCGGTCCGGGCGGGTCCCAGTTCTTTTGCACACCCCTAATGGCCAGCGACTAGGTCATGGCGGAAAAAAAAGAAAAAGATATTTTCAATAAAAATATTTTTTAGTAAAATATTTTTAAAAAAATTATTAATAAAAAAATTATTTATAAGAAAACTTTTTACCGGCCATGGCCAAAAAAAATAAAAAAATTATTTTTAATAAAAGTATTATTAATTAAAAAATATTTTACCGGCCATGGCCAAGAAGGAGGAGAAGAAAAAAAGAAAAGAAAGAAATATTAAAATATTTAAAATGTTATTAAAATATTATTAATAAAAAGAAATTTTATGCCTTTACCAAACGCATTTCTGTTCTTTTACTATTTCAGGAATAGAAATTTTGGGCCGTTACCAAACGCCTTCAAATGCTCAGAATCAGTTCCCGGGCACAGAATCAAAAAGAATCATTTCTGACCAGAATCTGTTCCCGGGCACAAATTGGTTACCATGCGCAGCCTAAGTCCTCACGGTTTTGTTCCTCCGAGGGCAGTCCATACTACCTCCAGAAAAGGCCTCTTGCAAGTTAAGGCTTCTCGAGCCTTTATAAGTTACCCAGGACTCCCCCCCTCAAGCGATGTGGGACAGGAGAGACGTGCCATCTTCGCCATCCTAGAAGCTTGCCAGGAGCTGCTCCTTGTCCGGGTCCTTGGACCCCGGCAACCACTCTCTGCCCTCATCGGACCGGTTGTCACACTCGCCTTGGCCGAATCTGGCCTGGACCGACCTTGCCAACCATTGGCGAGGGCCGACCTCGCTCGATAGTGGATTGTCAAGCTAGGTCGAAGATGGCGAGGTCGACCCTTGCAAGATACCGGTTTGATCCTATTGTTGTCATGGAATCGTTTTATCACATGATTGATTTGGATCTGGCAAACTTGCCTGAGGAAATTCAAATTCCATACTAGAGATTGATCAAAATGAAGAAGAGGGATTTTGCAAAGGAACCATCATGAACAGCTGAGGACCATCTTGCGTGCCCCCCAAATGATTTTAAATGTAGTATTTTCAATTGAATTTGCTTTCTGTATGCTCATTAGGTTCAACCTCTCTGTTAATCAAATATGTTGCTGCTGATTTTTTTGTACGGCACCCTGATGCAGAGTGGTTTGATGTAGATGCATTCTAATGATATCGCACCTGAGCTCGATGAGGCTCTGCAGAGGGAGATACGCACTACTAGTCGTACCATAACAATGCAAAAATGACTTGTGTGCTTATACTATATGAGCTGTGGAATTTCACCTGAAAATCAGTACGCACTTGCATGAGGACAATCTCCTCCATTTCCATCAGTTTATCAATGAGATACTATCCTTTGAATGTTGTCATATAGGTTCCTGATTTTTTTTATTTGATAATCTCAGTTCTCATGCGACGTCGATTCTGTAAAGTTGAAATTCACCTCCCAGCAAACTATCCTGCATTGCTGATTTT